AGAACGTAACACAGCATAACGCAGCACAGCATAACGAAACACATAGAACAGAGTACGGCTTAGTATAAGGCTCAGATCACAGCATAGAACACGGCACGCAGAACACAGCCCAGGACAGCATAGCGCGCAGAACAGCCGCCCTGAGCACAGCAGTCGAAGGCGTGTGCGTCGGCTCAAAGCGATGGTCACATTAGGGGATTTTATTGTCTTGGGTTTGGGGCCGGAAGTGACCCCTCGTTCTCCCCTTCCCTTCTCTTCCCTTCTCTTCTCTTCTCTTCTCTTCTCTTTTCTTTTCTTCTCTCTTCTCTTTTCTTCTCTTCTCCTCTTTTCTCTTCTCTTCTCTTTTCTTTTCTTCTCTCTTCTCTTCTCTTTTCTTCTCTCTTCTCTTCTCTTCTCTTCTCTTCTCTTCTCTTCCCTCTTTTTCTCTTCCCCTCTCTTCTTTTCTTTCTGGTTCTGGTTTCTTTTCTTTCCTTCCCTTCCCTTCTCTTGTTTCTCTTCTTTTCTCTCCTGTTCTGTTCTTTGCCTGTTTCTTATTATTTTTTCCCCTTCCCCTCCTTTCCTCTTTCCTCTCTCAGCTTTTCTTCTTCTCTCCCCTCCTCTTACATTTCCTCCCCTCCCCTCCCCTCTCCTCTCCCTCCCCTCCCCTCTTCTCTCCTCCCTTTTCCACTCCCCTCCCCTCCCCCCCTTCTGTTTGTGTGGACGTATATATGGAAGAGAAGGAGAGAGAGGGGAAGGGACGGGGAGAGGAAGAGAGAGAGAGAGAGGGAGAGGAAAATGGAGGAGAGGGAATATAATTTGATAATTTTTAAATAACCTTGAAGATTCATGCCGAATGGATGTGATGTTCATGTCGATGGAATAATCAGTTAGAGGTTTGCTCTTTCATCACAAATTCTCTTGTGTGTATATATGTATATATATATATATATATATATATATATATATATATATATATATATATATATATATATATATATATATATATATATATATATATATATATATATATATATATATATATATATATATATATATATATATATATATATATATATATATACAAATATATTTTTTGTTGTTATTGTTATTATTATGGTAATCCATATAAAGAGCTGCACTGTAAGAAATCGAGAATTATACCATATATACGAATATATATATATATATATATATATATATATATATATATATATATATATATATATATATATATATATATATATATGCATGTATGTATGTATGTATGTGTGTATGTATGTATGTATGTATATTCGTGTGTGTGTGTGTGTGTGTGTGTGTGTATGCATGTATGTATGAACGTTTGTGTATATATCTATATATAATTATGTTCTGTGTACATTTATATATGTACGTATGCATCAATAAATGTCAATGTACACTTAAATGTATGTAATCGAATTTGGAAAGAATGAACGTTTAAAAAGTGAAAGAATAACACCTGCTTATTTTTATTTCGCGCATGAGAAAGGCAGATCCACCCGAACGCCATTTTAGAGGCATATAAAGCCAAGTCATAGAAATCTATATGACCCTCGTCGAATATTTTTTTTTCCCAGTGACGTCAGAGACAGGCGTGCTCTTGATTTACGAAAATTGATATGAGATGCAAGGAAGAGGGGAGAGAGAGAGAGAGAAAGGGGAGGAGGGGAGAGAGAGAGAGGGGGGAGGTGGGGGAGGAGGAGGAGGGGAGAGAGAGAGGGGGGGAGGTGGAGGAGGAGGAGGAGGGGAGAGAGAGAGAGGGGAGGTGGGGATGAGAGGGAAAGGGGGGAAGGAGGAGGAGGAGGAGGAGGGGAGAGAGAGAGAGGGGAGGTGGGGGAGGAGGAGGAGGGGAGAGAGAGAGGGGAGGTGGGGATGAGAGGGAAAGGGGGGGAGGAGGAGGAGGAGGAGGAGGGGAGAGAGAGAGGGGAGGTGGGGATGAGAGGGAAGGAGGTGGGGGAGGAGGAGGAGGAGTGGAGAGAGAGGGGAAGGGGGGGAGGGGGGGAGACAGGAGAAGAGGAGGGAAAAGGAGAAGGAGGGGAGGAAGGGATAAGAGAGAAGAGGGGAAGGGAGAAAGTAGAGAATGAGAAGAGGGAAGAAGGGAAAGGGAAAAGGAGGGGAGGAGGTAATAAGGTAAATGAGGGGATAGGACGAGAACGTAATATAGAGAGATTGGAGAGAGAAAAGTGAGGAGAAACGAGAGGAAGGAGAGGGGACAGAGAGAAGAGTAAAAATAAATAAATAAATAAATAAATAAAAAAAGAGAAAAGAAATAAACAAAGAAAAAAATATATATAAGAAGTAGAAAGAACAAAAGAGAACAGCCAAAAGACAAAAAAAAAGAAAGGGCAAAACCGCAAAGATGAAGAAAAAAAAGAACCACAGAAAATAAAATAAACTAAAAAAAACAAAAAAAAACAGAAATTTTTCATAATTCGACTTGAACTCCCTTTAACACTGACCTCTCCTCCTCCCCCTGGAAAATGACACTCGAGCGCCGGCC